GGTGAAACTCTTGATGGAGTTTCTTAATTAGCTCCATTTAGTTTTAGTATTCTATAGATGTTCTTTCTAGATTCTAGCAGGAAGTTGTACATTCCTGGATTTCTCTACTCTTAGGTCTCTAAATATTTTCGTGTGAAATGACGTCAGGGAAGGTGGCTGGCCAGATGCCATTTTACACCGGGAAATCTTTGAACCCTTACAATCGTAACTTCTCAGACACCTTTCTTTGAAGATACCTTTTCTTATAGCTATCATCTGGTCTAGAAAGAGTCTTTTCCTAAAATCTTAAAACTGAAACAAAAATGAGAGCACCTAAATCTTAGAACTTGCTCTAGGCATCTTCCTAGTTTAGTGATTAGCTTGGCCTACTCTTTTCCTCGCTTGTTCAGACTTCCCCTTATCCCGGGAGAGCTCCTTTATGTTAAATATGAGAAGTCCCATGGCTTCTCTCTGGCTGCTGGACAGCACAACATCAACTACTTTTTCACTCCCTAAACTTAGAGGGCTCTCCAGTATTGGCCAGAACACTTTCTGTCCAGTAGAGATTATATGTCTGTCTTCTACAAACCTAGAAGGCCTTCCGTAGTCATTCTTTGGGTTAAACAACAAGTGCTGTGTGTCCTGAGTCCTTGATTTAAACATAATGGTGCTCTATTCCACAAGCTGGGCTTAGATCTGGGGCAGAGACATAGGAAAAGATGACGCAGTTTTAGCCTTGGGGTCTTGGTCTTGTCCTCAGTCAGGGGACTATAGTTGTAGCTCTTAGGAATATCCCTTTGATTTATCTACTTGTTAAAATATTAATAACTTTTTGCTAGAGAAAATATCAAACCTTTGAAAGTGGAGAGCCAGATGATGACTTTGTTTTACCCAACCTCCAGCTTCCCAGTGGTCAACTCACAGCCAGTTTGGGGTCATCTTCTTGTCTGTCCACCTACTATCCCTCGCACCCTGGATGATTTTTGAAGCAAATTTCAGACATTATCATTTGATTGGTGAATATTTCAGAATATATCTCTAAAATATGTTTGTAGAAGATAAGTACTGTTTTTTAAAACTATAAGCACAATGCCATTATCTCCCTTAGGAAATTAACAATAATTCCTTGATATAATCAAATATCCAGCCAGTGTTCAACTTTCCCTGATTGTCCTGTAATGTTCTCTTGGATAGTTCAGTTCAACATCTGAATATTGTCCATACATCATAATTAGTTGATATGCTCCTTAAATTTCTTTATAAGTTCCTTGTCAGACTCACTCTGTTTTCTTTACTGTCTCTTCATTGAATAAACAGGTATTGGCCCTATAATTTCCCCCCATTTTGAAAAAACTTGACATTTCTGAATATGTAAAGGTAGGAAGTATCCAACAATTGCTCTAAAGTGATTTTTCAAAAATGGTTTAATTAGCTTAGGTCAGAGAAGTTCAACCCAGGTGTCACTGGGCTCAGACCACCATGTTGGCAAGGATGGATTCCTTTCTGGAGGCTCTAGGGGAGAATTCTTTCCTTCAAGTTTTCCAGCTCTAGAGACAGCCCATATCCCTCACCTCATGGTTTCTTTCTTCCCATACTCAAAGCCAGCAAGTCGCATCTCTCTGACCTTTCTTCACATCTCCTCCTGACAGCAGCTGAGAAAGGTTCTCTGCTTTTCAGAACTTATGATTACACTGATAAGTTAGATTATACTACATAATCCAGGATCATCTCCCACCTCAAATTTCTTAATCACATCTGCAGAGTTCCTTTTGTCAGATAAGGTAACATAGTCACAGATTCCAGGGATTAGGCTGCAGATGTCTTGGGGAGAAGGGGGCATTATTCTACCTGCCACAAGGATCATCTGTTTTTAAAAATTTATACCATTATAGAAAGATTTCATATGCTCTATTGTGATATCATAATGACTTGAGTTATGTGATAGAATAGGGCATATGATAGTGAATTTTCATTATGATGATGTTATTATGGTTCTTATTTATATTTTTTGTGGGTAGTATTTTACTTAGATAAATTCTCAAAGATAGCCACACCACCCCCCTTAGAAATGCTGCTTTGGAACTTGGAGTAGCCCAGGTCATTGATGTGATTGTTCCTGCATAGCATCTTGATTGTCTGGATATTTGTGTCTTCAGATTAGGGAATGAAAGTTTATCGCAGCACTTACATGCATTGAGCTGCTGTGCTCTTACAGAAATTATTAGAGTGGGGCAGAATTTTTAGCTCTTACTGAACATGAGAAAGAGGACCTTCAGGTTATTAAGTGAGACCATGAGTCACATTTGAGAGAAAAGAGTATAGGGTTTTTAAAATTTGTAATCTGTTTCTACTGGATAGAGGAACTTCAGGAGTTTAATGACTTTTCCTAATTGGAAACCTTGGAGGAATCTACTTTCCTGTTTTTAAATTGTCCTGCATTTTAATTCACATTGCCACTTGATCTTCAGTCCTACATACAGATTCTTCTTCAGAGGCAAGCAGAATGTTACTGTAACATTGGTCACCCTACAGCAGCACTAGGTAGATAGATTTATCTTGGAGGCCATCCAAGAGGTTGTTATTAAAAACCAAAAGGACCTCATTATAAAGTGATTTTACTATAAAATGGTCTCTGGGAGCGATCCTTAGAGACATCAGGTCATTTGTATAGTTTAAAAGAGTACATAGTGTCAAAAAATGTCACTAAGGGGTCCTTACCTCACACCGTTAGTTTAAATAAATTCCAGATGAATTAAAGAGCTAAAGTGTAATGAACAATATAAGAAAATGTTAATGTGACCTTGAGTAAGAAGACCTTTATGACTTCTGCTTTTGTAGATATTCCTTTATGTGGGACAGTTACTAAGGAAAAAAAAAACCCTGTAGGGCCAGGCATGGTGGCTCGAGCCTGTGAAGCTAGCACTCTGGGAGGCTGAGGCAGGTGGATTGCTTGAGCTCAGGAGTTTGAGAACAGCCTGAGCAAGAGCCAAACCCCGTCTCTACTAAAAATAGAAAAACTAGCTGGACAGGGGTACACACCTGTAGTCCCAGCTACTGGGGAGGTTGAGGCAAGAGGATGGCCTGAGCCCAAGGGTTTGAAGTTGCTGTGAGCTGTGATGCCAGGACATTCTACTGAAGGCAACAAAATGAGACTGTCTAAAAAAAAAAAGCAGAACAAAAAACACAAGCTGCAGCTGGCATCATGTTACGTTCATGGAAGTTCATGGCGTATCACTCAAATGGAGCAAAGTCATGAGCCCCCCTCAGAGTGTTCTTCCCAATGTGCCTGAAAGTAGAGGGAGAAGGAACAAAGAATGACTGCCTCATCTTAAAAACATATCAAATTTTAAAGAAAGGATCTTGAGTAACTTGAGTTTAACTCATTTTTTTTATTTCAATGTTCAAAAACTCTTCTTTTGAAAATGTCTTACTATAAAACTTTTTGAAATTTTAATCTTTAAAGCAAAAATGCTGATATATATTTTGTATCCTGCTTTTTTACTTACTAACCTATCATGAACTTTTTTCAACGTCAAGATATCCATGAACAATGTGTTTTTAATGGCCACCTAATGTTTTACTTTATGGATATACTATATATTTTTAAATAGTATGGGTTTGGGCAGTTAGCCAGTTCTTCCCTGTTACAAATATAGGGAAATTCTCTGGGTCCAAACAGAGAAATTTGACAGGGAACGTTTAATAAAAAGAATTGTAAACTGTAACAGGGATTAGCTAGCAAGAAGTAAAGAGAATGCTGGGTGGCTGGTGGCTCAGGAGTGGGGCGCTAGCCCCATATGCCGGAGGTGGTGGGTTCAAACCCAGCCCCGGCTAGAAACTCAAAAAAAAAAAAAAAAAAAAAAAAAAGAGAGAAGTAAGGAGAGTGCTAAAGAAAAGAAATAAAGAAATAGCAGGTAACAGGTGCAATCCCTAACGCTTAAGCTGAGTTAGGGCATCCAGGGAGGAATCCCTCACCCTGAGTGCTAAGAGAGGGCTCAGCTGAGGATCTCTCAGAGTGATTTCAGGGAAGTCACTCTGGTGCCGTGCTGACAAAACTTTTGCTGAAGATTTGCCTTTTAGGGTGCAGGGAAAACTGATCATGGGGAAGGCACATGTTATACAGCTGCTCAAGGAGGGGCGTGTTGGGAGAAGTTACTGGCCTCTGGGGGATGCTGTCCTTTGTGCATTAAAAGGGCTGGGCATCAAAGAAGCTGCAAGCACTGAGGGAGCTCTCAGGAGAGCAGGCTGGAGCCAGGAAGCAAAAACCCTGGCAAAGGAAAATTACCTAATGGTTCAGGTCCATTTTCAGAGCAGCTAAAAAGGATGAATTTGGAGCTGAAAGGCACACCTGATACCCAGCATGATACCCAGCATGAGAAACAAATGTTTCAGGGAATATTCTTGTATCTGTATCATTGTATACTATCTGAATGTTTTCTTACATATTTTCCTAGACTTCGAATTGATAGATACAATGGTGAGCACGGTCTGTACTGGAGAAAAATTTCAATTAGTAAATGGAACTTATTCTCCTATTACACAGTACGTAGGAGCTTCTAGTTCTTCACACTTTAGTTAACCTTCAGTATCAGCATTTTTTTTTTTTGATAAGCAAAAAAAAATCCTTTATTTGTATTTTTAAAATAGTGGTGACGTCAAAGCTTTTCTTTTTGACTTTTTGTGAACTTCCTGCTTATATCCTCTACCTATTTTAAAAATTAGGATAATAAGTCTTACTGATTTGTACATGTATTGAGTAGCAGCAAATTTCAATGTTTGTGTGGCCAAATCTTAGCTCATTTTTAATATTTAAAAATCCTTCTGGGCATAATTTTAGTATAGGGTGTGAGGTAGGTATTTAATTTGATTTTTTTCCAATATTGTTAACTGTTATATCCTTCTTTTACTGACTGCTTTAAAATGTTACTTTTATCATATATTGAATACACTCCTGGCTGTATTTATGGACTTTCTATGGCTTTCCTCTGCTATTTACCTAATTCCTTCTCTTTGTCTTTCAGAACAGGACGCAGGCCTTGATGCCCTTTCCTCTATCATAAGTCGCCAAAAACAAATGGGGCAGGAAATTGGGAATGAACTAGATGAACAAAATGGTAAGAAAAAGCCTGGGATGGGCCAAATTTGCATTCAAATATAAGTGCTAAGGATGTGAATATTTGTTGAATTATTATAATAACACAAAGTGACTTCATGTCAATGGATTATTATAGTTCAATGCAATATGGGAGTTGTGGCACATTTAGAGAATAGTTATTAAACACCGGGTAAAGAAATTTGGTAAAAGATTTCTAGTTCTCAGTAGCTGCTTTAAAAAAATATTTTGTTTTATGGTTCGTTTATCCCAAGAGCCGCTCTTTTCTGTGGCAATGATCTGAAGTTGCTGGGCACTTCATACGCTAAGGCTGCACAGCCTCGTAATCTCCACACCTTGGAGTTTGTTCTCTTCTCTCATAAATACTGGCTGTGGGGCAAGACAGTGTTTGAAGATCTTTGTTCAGGATTTGAGACAGATATGATTGGAGAAAGATTAATTTGCAAACTGCAAGCAGGATGGATGGGGGGAGAGAGATGGAGGCCTCCCGAGAGGCTGTGGTGCTGGCGTTATGAGGTGTGGGAGATGAGAGCCCGAGTCAGAGTTGTAGTGGTAGGAATGGGGAGGAGAGGACGGGTGCCAGGGACTGCCGGTGTTATTACTGTTATGGACAGTGTGAGTCCAGTTTGGATGTGTCCACCTAGTGATTCACATGGAAGCGTTGAGTCCACAGTTGGAGGTACATTGCCAAGCCCACCAAAGAGACGAGATAGGAGATGAGGTGGAGGTGACGTGTGCCAGCATGAGAGTAGCTGAGTTTCAGTGAGGCTGCCTTGTGTGAAAAGCCCACATCTGCGTGCTGAGCTCTTTCATCTGTCATTTCATTCAATATCCATACACTGTCCTAAGGCAGTGCCACACTCGTTTGTTAGAGACAAAGTTCTTGGACTCAAGCAGTCTTCTTTCCTCAGCCTCCCAAGTAGCTGGGACTACAGATGCCCACCACAATGCCCAGCTAGTTTTTCTATTTTTAGTAGAGTTAGGGTCTCGCTCTTGCTTAGGATGGTCTCAAACTCCTGAGAACAAGCAGTCCACCCACCTCAGCCTCCCAGAGTCCTAGGATTATAGGCGCGGGCCACCAAGCTGCCTCATTGTTTACAAGTGACAGAATTGAAATTCCAACTCAGGTCTTCTCTGATTCTAATGCGACTGATTTTCTACACTACCAGCTTCCTCTGTGAGCAAGACAGGAAGAAGAGAAAAATAAAAAGTTCTAAGGTTTTAGCTTTCGGTGTGTGTTAGTGTCACAATGGAATGGCTTTCAAGAAGAGTCATCAACCTGTGTGAGCAAACATCAAGGCCCTGGGAGTGGATGAACTTGGCACTGAAAGGAGGGCCAACTTGTCAGAATCACATGTCAGGCAGTTCTTCTCTTGTTCCCTGGGAAGAATGAGCCTAATTGTTTCCACAGTACAATTCCATTTATCTGTCATAAATAAATAAACTCCACCTTTTTATCATCTGTCATAAAGCAAATGGAGAAGATTTCATTTTATAATCTTAATAGTTTGAGTGCAGAAAGGATAATTTAGTCCTTTGCTTGTGACCCCTCCCTGCATCTCCAAAGCCAACTCACTTCTACCTCTACCTGCTGCCTCCCACTTCCACATTCAGGGACCTTTGATGACACTGGACCAACCCACATGATCCAAGATAATCTCCCCTGTTTTAAGGTCAGCTGAGTAGTAAGTGGCCTTAATTCCTTCTGTAACCTTAATACCCCTGTGCCATATAACCCCACATATTCACAGGTTTTTCAAGATCTAGAGTGTGTAGATACTGCATGTCTTTGGGTGTGGTCATTATTTTGTCTACCATAGTATCATTACTTTGTACCAAGTAAACCAGAATCTCCAGGGGGTTCAAGGATCAGTATTTTTAGGAGCTTCCCAGATGATTTCAGTGTGCTGCCTCATTTGAGAACCAGCGCCCTTGTTAGACCTGAGAGAATATGTTTAGTACTACACTTTATATCACTTCCCATGTGCTCTCATTACAGATAAAAATCACGTGCAGAGCATGGGCATAGTCACGTATTCACACTGAGCATCACAGTCACCAGGATTCTTTCTTTCACTCACCCCATCCTTTGGTTCTTCCTCCATATCACCGCAGTCCTCGTCTTCATTTCAGCCCTGCATGGCTACATGTGTCCATAGACAAACAAGAGGTATTTTTCCATTTGTTGCCAAAGTAAGCGAGGTTTTCTCTGTGGTGCCTCCCAGAGAGAGGGCAGCTGTGCTGGTGGTTTTCTAAACTGCATATTTGTTCCTTGGAGATGGGACGGAGTCGGCCATTTTCTTTCACAGGAACTGAGAGAGACTGTGGATAAACAAGTATGTCTCTGCCAGGACCATAATCAGTCTTTACTCCTTTTGTTAAAGTGGAAAAAGGGCAGTTATATCTATAGGTGTTAAGAATAAGGGTACAGCCTCATCTGGGTTTTTATTGTGATCTGAGTGCCTTGTAAGGAGTCAGGGATGTGAGAAAAGGATACCACTTTTGTTGTAGATTTCTCTCTGCTTTACAGATGTACTAAATTATTCCTTTGATTTTTCAATAAATGAGAGAAACAATAGGTGAGGCCATCTTGGAATCAAGTATCAAAACCTTACTAACAAAATACATTGTACTTAGAACATAACCACAAAGCTGAAGGGTTGAATTATCTTCAGTGTTGGAATGCAGTTTCCAGTCTTCTCATGGAGAATTAAAAAGGGCCTGGCTAGCCCCTGTAATTACCCTGTTTGTATGCTAGTGACCAAGCCTAACGAGGAAAACCATCTGAAGTTAAGTGAAAAATCCAGAGGTGGGGTGGTGAGGGGAGGCGTGGGCCACTGAGCCAGGGACAGTGCTCTTCAGTTCAAGGTGAACCGTGTGGGTGGGTGGGCGGGCACAAAGGGCTCATGGCAGACCACCCAGATGCTGCTCCAGGACCAAGAGCTGTGGTTCTGGTTTACTGAAAAGCTCTTTTAAGTACATGTTTAAGAGACAGCTTTTTAGAAAGAATACCAAGACAAGAAAATGAATGGGATTGGCTTGACTCGATGGGAGTAGATATTTTGAGACCTACTTTTGGCATTGGCTGAGCCTTAAAATCAGCACCACAAAGAACCATGGAGGCCTGATTCCAGTGGGTGAAGTGGCACCAGGAACAAAGCTGTCAGTGTGGGCACATGTGCATGATTGTTTCTGATGCTGAAATTTCTCTAGGGGGCTAATCCTTTTGATTTTTCTGTCAATCTATGAGCACTTTCTTGCTTTGTGGAAGAAGAGGATGGTCCAGGCTCATGTTTTTCCCTGTCCTAACCCTGGAATCAGCTGTTTTCTCAAGGATCTCTGGTTCATTTTACTGGGAAAGTACGTTTAAAAACCAAGATCTTGGTGCATTCTATACCTTTTGCCACTGGGGTGTCATTTATTTCATTTCTTTTAGGCACTTCATCACTTTTATCCTTCATCCTTTGTAAGTGACCTATTCCCTCCTCCCCCAGCACTTTAGGACCTGTTTGTCCCTGATGTTTTGAAATTTTATCAGCATGTCTTGATGTAGATACATTTTCATTCATTGTGTTTGATACTTAAGCATCCCTTAGAATCTAGATATTCCATTGCGGTAAATTCTCTTGTAATTCCCTTCCTTCTGTTTTTCTCCATTTTCTCATTTTGCAACTCTTACTGGTCAGACTTAGACTTCCTAGACCAATCCTTCAGTCTCTTATTTTTTCTTCCTAAGTTACTCTCTGTCTTCTTTCTAATTTTTAACAAGAGCTAGCATGCATTTTTTAACCTTTCAGAGTCACTTCTGGTTAACTTTATTTATAGAACAGAATAGGTGTATGCATGTACAGAAGCCTGGCCCTGTGCTCCCCTCCCCAGGAGTGCCTCTTCCATCTGCCTGGCCACTCTGTCCTCGTCACCTGTGCTGAGTTACCACATCCTGTCAGTTGTACCTCAGGATCATAGGCATTTGTCCACATATCTTCATCACTACAACCCCAGTCATCATGTCACCAGTAATTACCACCTGGGTCACCACAATGTCCTGATGCCTTGCCTGGTGTCTTATTTCCTTCTCATCCTTTCTCTGCCTTGTATTAAAGTGTTCCTTTAAGAACACAGACCTAGTCACATTTTAACTTTGAGTGACTCCCTTCATCGCCTTCCTGATAAAGCCCAGCTTACTCTCAGTGATCTACGCATTGCATTTCTGGTCTCTGGAGTTTTCCACCCCAACCCTACTGACCACAGCAAGGTTGTCAGTTGTCAGTTACCTTGATATGCTAGACCCAGCTTTTTCTGTTGCCTGGAACACCTCTCCCCTCCTGCCAGTTACTGTTCCTCCCCCAGCCCACCCCAGCCCCAGCCCATGTCTGACCTTGGCTCAGTCTGAGTCAGTCCTTCAGATTCGGCCTAGGTTGGGCACCATCTAGTGACTCTTCCCCTCCTGGATGCTCCCTGAGAACCCTCCTCATAGCATTTGTCGGTATTCTCCACTGCACCAGAAGTTCCTCGAGGACAGATACTCCCTTGTACTCACGGTTGAGTTCCTGGTGCCTGATTCACATGGTGAATAGTCAGTGATTTATGATACTTGTCAAATTAATGAAATATGAATACAGCTTCAGAAACTTACATGTTACATGTTTTTCCAGAAATCAGGATGACTATAGCTAACTAAAGTGAACATGAGTGTTCACTACCTTAAGAAAATGATTAGGGATTTTTGAAAAGACGGTACGGCTCGTGAGGAAGCACTTCTGCCCCACCGTAGACACCGGCTATCCCGTGGAGCTTGTTAACGAGGGATTAAATATGTGTTGTCTTTTTTTTTTTTAGAGACAGTCTCTCTCTTTATCACCTTTGGTAGAGCGCAGTGGCATCACAGCTCACAGCAACCTCCAGATCTTGGGCTTAGGTGATTCTCTTGCCTCAGCCTCCTGAGTAGCTGGGATTACAGGCGCCTGCCACAACGCCCAGCTATTTTATTGTTGCAGCTTG